GAGTGAGCAGGATACTGGAGGGCCACACAAGCAGGGGCTGCCCCAGGGACTCAGGGGAGCAGACAGAGCTTGGGCAGGTGAGCAGGGGCAGGTGGTAGAACAGGAGCATTAGGGGGCTGCCCCAGGGACTCAGGGGAGCAGGCAGACCTTGTGCAGGTGAGCAGGGGCAGTTGGGAGAGCAGGAGGGGCGAGGGGCTGCCCCAGGGGCTCAGGGGAGCAGGTAGAGTCTGTGCAGGTGAGCAGGGGCAGGTGGGAGAGCAGGAGGGGAGAGGGGCTGCCCCAGGGGCTCAGGGGAGAGGAGCTTGTGCAGGTGAGCAGGGTCAGGTGTGAGTGCAGGAGGGATAGGGGCTGCCCCGGGGGCTCAGGGGAGCAGAGAGAGCTTGGGCAGGTGAGCAGGGGCAGGTGGAAGGGCAGGAGGGGCGGCGGGCTGCCCCAGGGGATCAGGGGAACATGCAGCTTGGTCAGATGAGCATGGGCACATGGGAGAGCAGGAAGTGCAAGGGGCTGCCCCAGGGGCTCAGGAGAGCAGGCAGAGCTTGGACAGGTGAGCAGCGACAGGTGTGAGTGCAGGAGGGAAGGGGGACTGCCCCAGGGGCTCAGGGGAACAGACAACTTGTGCAGGTGAGCAGGGGCAGCTGGAAGGGCAGGAGGGACAGGGGGGGGCTGCCCCAGGGGATCAGGGGAACATGCAGCTTGGTCAGATGAGCAGGGGCACGTGGGACAGCAGGAAGTGCAAAGAGCTGCCCCAGGGGCTCAAGAAAGCAGGAAGACCCTGTGCAGGTGAGTAGGGGCAGGTGGGAGACCAGGAAGGGAGGGGAGCTGCCCCAAGGGCTCAGGGGAACACGCAGCTTGATCAGATGAGCAGGGTCAGTTGGGAGAGCAGGAGGTACAAGGGAATCCACCAGGGGCTCAGGGGAACAGGCTGAGCTTGGACAGGTGAGCAGGGGCAAGTGGGGGAGCAGGAGGGGAAGGAGGCTGCCCCAGGGACTCGGGAACAGACAGAGCTTGTGCGAGTGAGCAGGGGCAGGTGGGGGAGCAGGAGTAGAGGGGGGTGCGTCAGGGTCTCAGGGGAGCAGACAGAGCTTGTGCAGGTGAGCAGGGGCAGGTAGAGAGCAGGAGGAGTAGAGGGCTGCCCCAGGGCTCAGGGGAGCAGACAGAGCTTGTGCAGGTGAGCAGGGGCAGGTGGGAGAGCAGGAGGAGTAGAGGGCTGCCCCAGGGGCTCAGGGGAGCAGACAGAGCTTGTGCAGGTGAGCAGGGGCAGGTGGGAGAGCAGGAGGGGTAGGGGGCTGCCCCAGGGACTCGAGAACAGACAGAGCTTGTGCGAGTGAGCAGGGGCAGGTGGGGGAGCAGGAGTAGAGGGGGGCGCACCAGGGGCTCAGGGGAA